GGTCGTTTTCAACAATTCTGAAGCTGTCATGATCTCTGCGCTGATGGTTCGTTTTTTTCCTTTCCTCCTTGCTCCCCTGTCTAATTGGTCCTGCGGCTGATTAACCCCGATCATTTCCACCTGCTTATTCAGCTATTTATATTGCATGCTTGCCTTCAGTCAGAGTGGGCTTCTTCCTCAGCATTTCCCTGTTTCACATACTAGAGCCCTGCACTTCCGCGGAATTCCTGCAATGCAAAGCAGTGCGGCGCGGGACAAAAATTGAAAGCTCATTGCGGGTGCGGGAGGGAGGGAGAACGCACAGTGCGGATGTGGGCGGGAGCGGTGATAAGCGACAGTCCCGCAAACTAAAAACGATTCTTAAATCTTAAAATAAAATGTAAAATAAAGTCATAATTGATCAGTTTATGTCTATCATATATATACATCACAGTGTGCTGGATATTGCAGCTCCTGTCACCTAACGGGCGTCATGCATATGCGGGGAAGAATCGCCCAATTATGTGCTCAGCTAAGCACAGCGTGTTTAATTCCTCAAACTAATGGCACGAATTGCCTTGAGCAGTAAGCGAACGTCGGAATCATGCGGGAATTGCTAGAGGGAGCTGGACACACTATTACAGGAGCGGGACTGGAAAATCTGTCCCGCGCAGACCTCTATCACATACCTAAAAGGAAATAAAAGCATATTAAATCCAACAACCCACTCACTTTTCACGTTTCATGTAGTGGAGATCAGCAATGACTGTCCTTCCTGATCTCCTAAATATGACATATTATCTCATAATTATGACATCTCGTAATTATGAGAAAAGATCTCATGATTACGAGATATTATCTCGTAATCATGAGATAAACTCTCAGATTTTGAATTCACGAGCACAAAGACAGAGTCGAGCGCACGGCTGGTGTTGAGCGCGGAGAGAGCAGGTCGAGCGCGAGCAGAGACTGATCCAAGCATGCGCAGAGATGGAACTGAGCGCGACAATAGTGTTAGGAAGAGTTTTTCAGATTTGAGCATGAGTCAGACCGGTTTTGAGCGCGCGCTTGTTGTCTCACTGCGTGCTCGGATTGGTTCCTGCGCACTCAACCTGAAGGCACAAATAACGCTCCATAGAGCCGCCCTTCCAGGGCTTTGGGCTCGCATACAGACAAAGTCTCGTTAAATAAACTCCCAAATAACTTATTTTTGGATGTTTTCTTTACAATAGTCCTAAAGAAAACATGTCAAAAAAAAAAACCCCAAAAAAACGGTCGTTTTGCCCGTGGAGTGTCGCCTTAATAAATGGCTGTACAAGCGGTGATGTACCAGACCCCCTGCATTCAGAAAGCAAAGCCTACAACCTCCGCTGTTCCTCCCGTCTTGCTGCGCTCTGACTTATCCTGGGAGCTTGAGGAGAGCATGCGCGATATTATAATTTAATTCGTAGGAGCAAAACATGCAGAAATGAGCGCTTAATTTAATATGAAACATTCAAAAAATCCCCATCAGCATACAGCATATGAGCGGTTTCTGATGCAGATGAGAAATCTGCTTCCTGGTATGTTGAAGTATCAATAGTTTGCATCTAATCTTTTAAATAAACAGTGTTAGTTTTTTTTTTTTTATATATATGAATAATGCTCTAATTTGTCGTTTTTGTACCGATCTGTTGTTACTATATTTTAATTTGACAAATCGGATCTTATCACCATTCTTTTTCCTGTTTGGTGCGATTGCAGTGGCGGATCTTGACCTGGCCGAACCGTAGCGGAGCCTGAACATTTAGAGTATATTTGGCTCCACTTGCTGCTGTGAAGCATTGGAAGGATTTTCCACCATGAACATAATCAAAAATAAATATCGATCCAGGGTAACGAGTGAGCACTTCGATATGTACTTGAGAATGGCTTTGTTACCATTGAAACACAGGTTTAAAGCCTTGCAGAGCAGCCTAAAGCCCACTGCTCTCATTAAGTAAAAAAAAAAAACAACAAAAAAAACAAAACAGTTCAGGTGTTTTAAAAAATATGTGAATCAGGAAATTGTCTACGGATGTGGGATATGGGAATACGATCAAGTAAAATGATACGACTGGCATAAAATCAAATACAAACAGTATTAAAACAAAACAACAAGCCGGTCCCATCTAGGCGTAAACGGAGACAGTGACACATGAAGTGTGCTCCTGATGTCCAGTCTGCTCCGTAGCTTTGTTTTGGTCGCTGTAACCGCAGAAAATCCCGCTTCACAATGATAGGATGTTATAGATAGGATGCGTCTTGAACTGAATTAACCTGTATCAAGAGGCACAGATGCACCGACTGATGTAATCGGGAGAAAATTTTTTATATTTTTCAAAATAAAACATCACTCAGACTCTGATCGCCGATAAATTATATATATATATATATATATATATATATATATATATATATATATATATATATATATATATATATATATATATATATATATATATATATACATATATATATACTTTTTTCTGTGCTCCCCGGTACCAAATGACCCACGGACCGGTACTGGCATACATCTTCAGACCCTTCTAGTACTCACATGGAAGGAATTTCTTCAATATCATTTATCTTTCAAATCTTTCAAAACTAAACACATTTTTACATCGTCATTTTTGATAGAAACATGAAAGTCGGCATATTTATTCATCAAAGCCTGTCTTACCGTCTAAACATTATTTCTTTATCTTTTATGGTTTTTGATGTATTAAACATAGTTCAACACAAACTTTTAAACATTTTTCATGCATTTTTTTGCCAATGTCCCTCTTTTTTTCCCAGAGTGCTGAGTCTTTTCAAAAACAGTTTGAACAGAAATAGCCCTAAATCTTCATTTCCCTATCCGTTGCGAATTAAACGGCGCAGGAATGACATCCATACGACTTATTATGCCAGAGTTACAGGCATTTGTTCTGCAGAACATCATCAGGGCTCGATGTTAACCATTGCCCGATCGCCTGGGGCAAGTAGTTTTTATTGTCCGGAGAGTACAAATTTCATTGCATTTGCCCGCCGGGCAAGTGCAATGATCAGAAAAGAAAAATTTTTATCACTCAAAATTACTTTTAAATCACCGACACTCGCTTAAAAATGGACCCACATGCGTTGCCGGCGCCATTTTTGTTGTTTTGTACACATTCTTTTCCACTAGATGGCGTGATACTTGGGAATTGGCGCAAATCAGACACACCCACCACCCAGATAACCCTAGATTAAAAATTATTAGTCATGTAATAGGAAAATTGCCATAATTGTATGCCATGCGAACAGTGTAATAATGGCTATCTTAAGGCAGTCTTTTGTACAGTGATTCAGGTCATACATTAAAAAATATTCATAAAATTTTTTTCTCTTAGAAATTGGAGAGGTGCATTTAAATTTTATAGAGCTAAACAAGTTAAATTGGTGACCTGTTATGTTATTGTCTTGTTGCTGCATTTATTTTGTATAAAACCCTGCCCTTTAAAAAGGAACCATGAGGAGGCAAAACATAAATATAAATAAATAAATATACTTTCAGTGTACTTGTAGTATACTTATCAATTATATACTAAATTACTCTTATGTTAACTATACATGGCATTTATTAAAGTATACTAAAGCTTTAAGTGTATATACCCCATACTTAAAGTTATACTTAACAAAAGTAGCTATACTTCAGGTTCATACTTTCAAGTGTACACAAGAACACAAAAATATTGATAAATCAATTTTAAGTATGAAAAAATCACAGACTGAAGGGTTTAATTTTTCTTATAAAATGTAAACAGTGTTAATAGTCTCACTGTACAGAAAGTCTGGTTGTGGTTAGTTTATGTCCCCTGCTAACACTAAACTTTGTGGCTCCACTGTCTGTTGTACTTATTGCTGAGGTGTATTTTGTATGGGTATCCACTATGTGGCAGCAGACGACTATTCAGCTCCTGATTGTTGTTTGTAGAGGAAACCTCTGGGAAGAGCAGAGCTCTTGCCTCTGAGAGCGTCTGAAAGGTTGAAGGTAAACAAGGAGTGACCCTGAAAGGGAAGAGAAATATGAATCAACTGAAATTAACATTTATTCTCTATTGAGATACCTGAACTATCTCTATAGCTAAGTTGCTGCCATCAACAACTTTCATTATAAATTATAGAGTTGGGTTTTTAAGGGTTTAGTCCAGTTTCTCTCCTAAGCATATCTACTGGCTCATTTTTTGGAGTGACTGTGTATGTTCTAATTCATCCTTCTTTTAATAAAAACTGGCTCAGAGCTGCATACCTGTTTCTTTGTTAGACAGAGTCACCTATAGAGCTAGTTTGCTGTTACCGTCTCTAACATAGAATGTATTTATGGATCAGTGCCTTTTTTGTCTATTCTCTCCTTTAACCTCCCGTAATTTGAAGCTACCTCTTCATATCATCCTCCACTCACGGATAGTTTCAGAGTGTGGCACTGACCTGCCACTTTGATCACGCAGCAATTGTTTGAAATGTTCCCATTTTTTCCCCGATTTAGACAAGCTAGCAGTAGTTGGGCCAAGGATGTGATGAAAAGTAAGTGCCTCCAAAAAACCGGAAGTTGGATACATATTTACTTTTGCATTCAAAAATAAGGTGGATCAGCTGCTGCAGAGAAGTTTTTGCTTTAGCTGGCCGTGTCATGATCTTGGTACTGATCACTGTAGTATTGTTTTGTTTTTTTCTACCTGCTTAGCTCTGCCCAGTTTTCATTTTCTCTCATCTTATCCAACTGTTCCAGTTTCTATTTAAGCTGCCCTTTTTCCAGCCATCAGTGCCAGATTATTCCAGACCTGTGTGCGAGTTCTCTAGTGTACCCAGTTGTGTTTTTGATTACCTGATCCTGACTAGTTTCTGCCTCTGGACTCCTGAGTTTGCTTGCCCCTGTTCCGGTCTACTTCCTGCCTGTCCTGTCTTCAGACTTCTGTTTGGATTCTGCCTGTTTACATCCTTGGATCTGTCCTCTGACCCCGGGTTATTTTTTCCTTCAGTAGCTCTTCATCTCTGTGATTTTCCGGCCTGGACTGCTCCTGCTTTGACACCTGCTCTGGATTCTTGCTCCCGATTCTTCTACTCTTCCTTGTCTGTTGGCTTCCGTCCATCAGTGTGCTCTGCCTCACTCCTGGAATTCTCTCGGCGGGCCCATGCATGCTGTGAAGAAATCCTCCGGCTGCTTTCCACTCCTTTCTCTGGGCTTGGACATAGCTTAAGAACCAGGTTAGTAACTCACATGCCCACTTTTGTTCCCGGTCTGAGTTTCTTGGTCACTAACTTAAGTTTCTACCTCTACAGAGATTCCAGTCAGCCGGTCCCAGCTGAATTCTGGGTCCTACTTTCTAAGCCTTGACAGGCCAGTGACAGGCAGTAAATAGCCAGAAGTCTCACTCAAAAAATCTGTCACTTAAATGTGTCCCTACTTCCATTAAAAATAAGGTGGATATGCATAAGTGCCCAAAATTGAAGGCATATATATAGAAAAAAAAACAATTTTAAACAGCTGTACACTGTAGTGATCACTATGCATGAAAGAGTTAATGCTCTTTCTGCACGAGTTGTCTTCCTGTTTAAGGGAGTTTTTCCTCTCCTCTGTTAATGTGGGCATGGTTTGTGTGGGGATCGCTGTAGAGTCAACTACAACAATACAAGTGAATATCTACTGTCGCCACATAATAATCCAGGAGGAGCAAAGCCTGCTAAGTCAATGACAGGTTGCAATCAGCTGGTTTTACTTTGAAAACGTTTAAGCAATGACACAGTATGATCTGATTAAAATGTTTCTTTAAAGTGCCTTGAGATGACATGTGTTTTTAATTGCAGCTAAATAAATAAACAGAATTGAATTGAATTACACACTATATATATATCCTATGGCATCTAGGCAATTGGCAATTTTACCAATTAAATAAACCGATTTAAATGGTATAACACTTTACAAAAAATATATATTTTGATTTCTGCAAAACATAGATGACAGACTTGTAGACAGCATGAATGTAAGGAGAGGAGGACAAGGAAGGTAAGTTTTCACCAAGAGTTTAAGCTATCAGTGGAGCTAGCAGGTAGGTTACCACAGTGCTGAAGTTACCCAGCTGGCATCCGTCCTAGGGAATCCACTCCTCTTAATACTGCCTCCTGATTACATCGAAGTGGCACCAGCAGGGACTCTGCCTAACAAGAACACACCCTAGGGAGGAGAAAAGTAAAACAAACGAGATCCAACAGTACCCCACCATTAACAGAGGCCAACAAAGTCTGAGATGAGCACAGGATCCACGATAAAGGAACCTGGGACCCAGGAGCAATGTTCGGGGCCATAAACCTGCCAGTTGACCATATACTGGCAGCCCCTACCACAGGGACGAACATCCACTATGCAGCGCACAGAGAAGGCAGGATGGCTACCTACATCCCGGACAGGCGAGGAGGTCTGGACGGTGGGCACAGAGGACTTGAACAGACTTGGTGGCATGGAAAACAGGATGAACTTTAAGGTGGGATGGTAGTGCCAAGCAAACTGTAGAAGGGCTATTGACTGACTGTATAGGTTATGGACCTAAAAACCTGGGTATGTCAACTTCAGAACAAGAGGACCCAGTCTTTGAGGCGGTGAGACGGGTTCCACAAAATGTTTATTTAAGACGGAACTGCAGTGAACAGCATCTGCGTCTAAGGCGGGAAAATCTGCAGAACACAGGTTACTATCCATGTCTATCTGGTGAAGGATGATAATGAATGTGTGAGTCACTAACCTGGTCTTATAGATCAGTCCGAGCCCAGAGGATGAGGTAGGTTCCAGCCCGCCGGCAGCCAATAAGACGAGGCGGGCGCCGCCCAGAGAGTTCCAGAAGCTACTGTCCCAGAGGTTGGAGAACATTCAGGCCATCGGAGCCCAGCAGACAAAGGAAGGCAGGATAATCCAGAGGATGAAGCCAAGGCCAGTATCGAAGACGTCCTTGGAGTCAGAGCCAAGAGATCAGTTGTCCGAAGAGGCACCTAAGGGAACAAGGACAGTGTCAGGAATCAGTTCCAGCTTTGGTACATAGACAGGCGGAAATCCAACAGGAGTCCAAAGACAGGTCAGGTAAACCGATCAGAACGGGGAAAGGCAGGCTCAGAGGTCTGGAGGCAGAACGGGTCAGGATCAGGCCATTAGAACAAAAAGGAAAACTACAGAACTCTCACCAAAGGCTCAAGCAATCTGGCAGTGATGACTGGTTTGAAGGCTGGTTAAATAGAGGCAGAAGCAGGTGGATCAGATGAATGGTAATGAGAACTGGGCAGAGATGTGCAAGTAAATGAGATGAGTAATCACACCAGGCATCAGCGCCAAGGTCATGACACCAACGGGACCACAATACAAACAGAACTACAATGGAAGGGTTTGCAGTTTAAAGTCCAGACCTAAATCCAAATTAAAATCTGTTGCCTGAAAATTTCAAACCCATGTAAGGGAATCAGGGAAACATTTCAGTCTCTTGGTCTTCATACCTCTGGAGACTTGGAGCTACAATTATATACAACCTTTGTAAATTTTTTAATAATTGCCATCAAATTTATATTTGTCAATTTTTTTGTGGTCTAAGAACAAACACTTTCGTAAGTATTCATTGAATTTTGATGTTTAAACGTGAACGGCTAAAAAAAGTTGAAATTGAAACGGCTACACAAGGGAAATGTTTAATCCAGATGAGGTATTTGTCTATTTCCAATATTTTTTTTATCTGATACGATTCATTGTGTTGGCTAAATATCAATAATAAAAACTGTGATTCTATTTCAAAGTAGTATTAACAGACCTTGGAAAATTGTTTTGATAAGTATACTCATATAGTAACGTTGGAGTAAATAAGGCTTTGTCTTTGTAACAAAGGCTAAATGATGGACCATCAGATCTTCTCACACAGATCCTCTCAGAGGCAAGAGCTCCCCTTACAATTAGAGATGAGTGGTTATCTGCTGCCACCTAGTGGCTAAAGATACAAATAACACCTCACTAGATACAGTATTACCTACAAACAGGTAGATGCCTGGAGTTTAAAAAACGAAAATGTATGTATTTTTTTTTTTGTAAGAAAAATGAATGACTGTTTTTTTTTTAAAGAAAAAAACACAACTATTTTTCTTTTATTGTTAGTTCAGCATTATATGATCGTACTTTTACCCCTAAACAGGAAAGGTTACTTCTAAATTGAATGGTTTTTGCTGAAGGTGAACTTGTAGAAATGTTTTTGTGGTTCAGGTCTGTGGGTCAGCTCTATGTAAACATGAAATTATCTATATGCAGTGTTTACTTGAGATTCCTGTATAAAAACACTACAACTGCACTCCAATATCTGACAAAACTAGGTGTGTTTTTGTTACCTCTTAGTAAGGCCCATGTTTTCTCATATTACAAAGACTTAACTCTCTGTATTCTTTCTCACATTACAACTTTTGTGTATTATAATTTGATTTTATAAGGTGCAAAGCATATTTGGAAGAGCAACAGAGATCTAGAGTTTGAGTAGGAGAGTTTAACTTTGCCCTCTTCAGATCTGATATCTATGGAAGAATAGAAATCAGAATGCGATTGCTGAAAGAAGCTAAAGAGGATTTTATTTTAAAGATTGCTATAAGCCATTTAGTGTATACAGCACACTCAGAAAAAGGTGCTCCAGTAAAATAATAGAGGACAACTATTAGTTCAATCTTGCCTTTATATACTGGGAAAAGGAGAGCCATTAACATCTCCATCTAATGACATTAATGATGCAGCTTTTATGCATGTAGCCTTTATTTGGCAATCGTTGATAAGAGCAAATCATAGATGTTCCAAAGGTCTCTTCATCTAGGCTTACTGTGCTTGGGCGTTCCTGCAAAGGAAAAAATCAGCTGACCTTTTAAACTCAAGTAAGATATCTCCTCTGCTCCTAATATAAATATGTGATGATTGCTTTTAGCAGGAAGAAAATACTTTCAGGGTGGTTTTTCTGATTTTCCCATCAAAATGAGTCCATGTGTTTCAAAAAATAGGTTAAAAAAAGCCGCAAAATCCTGATTAATGCACCTTTAGAATAAGTAAACAAAGAAAAGAAATGTTTAAATTTTTTTCACATGTTTTTTTGTTTCTGTGGTCATAAAAGTAAGGATTTCTTAAATGACCTTTTTCAGGATAATGCAAAGCTGAAATCCATGGCTTAGAGAATTCAAGCAGTTAGAAAAACAATTTCAGATCTTGATTCCTTTATTTTTTATCCTAACTCTAAGTGATTCCATAGTTTTTCCCTTCAATGAGGTGTGAAAAATATGAGGTGCCCCCAGGGACATAAATCAGAATTAACTTGCATATACACATATTAAATTACACTCTTCCATATAATATACTGAAAACCTCACACAAACACTAGTAAAAAGCTCTCACATAAACTAGTGAAAACATTGACCTCTTATATAATCTACTTAAAAGCTCTCATACAAAGTAGTGAGAACTGTTCATATAAACTGGTGAAAAGCTTTACCTTTCATACACACTACTAGAAAGCTTTCATGTACACTATTAAAAAGCTCTCATATACACTATTAGAACGCTCTCATATACAGTATTAGAATGCTCTCATATACACTATTAGAACGCTCTCATATACACTATTAGAACGCTCTCATATACACTATTAGAAAGCTCTCATAAACACTATTAGAACGCTCTCATATACACTATTAGAAAGCTCTCATATACACTACTAGAACGCTCTCATATACACTATTAGAAAGCTGTCATATACACTATTAGAACACTCTCATATACACTATTAGAACGCTCTCATAAACACTATTAGAAAGCTCTCATATACACTATTAGAACGCTCTCATATACACTATTAGAAAGCTCTCATATACACTATTAGAAAGCTCTCATATACACTATTAGAACGCTCTCATATACACTATTAGAAAGCTCTCATATACACTATTAGAAAGCTCTCATATACACTATTAGAACGCTCTCATATACACTATTAGAAAGCTCTCATATACACTACTAGAACGCTCTCATAAACACTATTAGAACGCTCTCATAAACACTATTAGAACGCTCTCATAAACACTA